AGTTCCGATGGTTCAAAACTACTAAGAGCAGGAAAGTAAAAACCTGAGAGTAATTATGTAAAGACTAGATTATCCGATAAGTACTGTATTCGAACTGCCAACGGTGTTAAGGCGGCCATCACGTAAAACTTAATTCTTAATCCTCTTATTTCCTAAAAGATTTTTATACCACTAATTAAGCAGAATTGAAAGCATTACATAATATAATCATTGACATAGGTTCAATCCACTGAAACGTCACTCTTTTAATATCCATCAACTTTAACACAATTACGACACAGTATAAGTTTATACTGTGATTACGATGCCCTTTATCTTTCGCTTGACATTTCGTAAACAAATTGACACTGACATTTTCCACGGGGTAATATGTTCGTTCATTGTTCAGTACGAGCGACTTATTTCAGTCTATCCGTTACAGTTTGTTGTTTCGCTGGCCTTCGAAACTTAATGTGCCTCTTTGTGTATCTATCACGTGGTAAATAAAGGCGCCAAGGATATACATTTTGTGGTATTTAATAGAAAAGGGAAATAGTTCCATAGCAAAATATTAATTATATGAAGTTACATGTTAACAAAAGTAAATACAGCCATTTCCGTACACTATGATTATAATTTACTGGCGGAGCTTTACAAAAAACAGCGATGTCTGTTGTGTTCAAATCCCAGCCACAGTAATAAGTGAGTAATTTGAAAATTCGTCTAAATCCGTAATAGGATTTGTGTTAAACTTATATGATATTTATTTTTATACCGATACGACAACATAAAAATAAGAAAGAGCCGTTCTGTTTTTAGAATCTATCAACATTAACACTCTCACCTGTCAACTAGAGGAGTAGGCAGAGACTATGGCCTTCCATTCGGTACCACCCTAAATATTTTAGAATAAAATAACCGTAACTAGCGAGCACACAGCTCACCTGATTGTAAGTGGATGCTGTGGTACATAGACATCTACATCTATCCTCGATGACGAAACAAAATGCAGATGCGTTGTCACTAAGATGGAATGCCTCGCTTCCAGTAAAAAGGGTCTTCGGTTCTCTACACTCACCATACGAAAAAGCAGCATTAAGCTAGTAATTAACGCTATTATTCTGTGAGAGCGAGTTCGTTCCCCGGTCGAGCCGACCCTTTCGTGCTAAAACCATAATATATCCTGACACAAGAAACAATAAAAATACAGTAATATACTCGTATCTCGCATAAAAAGACGAGATCCGTGGGCAGTTCAGGGGTCATGTTTTGTTCCACGCGCGCCTCAAAGAGCTGTCAGCAGCGTGAAGGGGCCCGCAAGGGCCGACGCCTGCCGGGGCTACGGGCTGTTCGAAAGAGATACCGCGGCTCCGGAACGTAAGGGCACTGAAGGAACACGGATGGTTTTTAGTCAGTAAAAGTCTGACACTCCCTTCCGCTCCACCCAAAGCGAAAGGCGTCATTTGATGATTTTCCATCCGCAAAAAAAAAAGGGGTCAAGCAAACGATTTATTATTATATTATTACGATCATTTCTAGTAGATACTTTATCCAGAGACATGATGATTTCAATGAGAATTTCCTTTCAAAAACAAATTCATCTAATTAAAAACTACTTTTCTGCCGAATTCAAAAAGGAGGCGGTACTCAATTCGACTGTATGTTTTTTTTATGTGTGTTACCTCAAAACTTTTTACTGACTGAACCAATTTCGAATTAATTTATATTGAAGTCGACTGTACAAAATGTTTAATTTTAAATTATTGACCTACTGTTTAAAACCGAAGCACAGCTGTGAAGGAAAGCCGTGTCCTGTCCGCGGTTAAACTTTTACTTACCATTACAATTGAAATCTTGGTTAGGCCCCGCTACAGTCTTTCTCGGTTTTTGTACATCTGCAATGAAAAAAGATAATGTTAAAAATTATAACACATTAATTATTCTACCTTATGCATGTATTCATGACACTTTGTTTTTTTTTCTATATCTTATTATTGGCGATATTAAACATGACGTTTTTTAAGTGGCAAAGTCATGCTGAAGCTATATTAGTAGTATAGTTGTAGCACGAATGGGTCGGCTCGACCGGGGAAGGACCACGCTCTCACAGAACACCAGCGTCAAATAGCAGCTTAACGCTGCTGTGTTTCGTATGGTGAGTGTAGAGAACCGGAGACCCTTTTTACTGGAAACGAGGCATTGCATCTTAGTCCTCATGGGTGACGACGCATCTGTATTTTGATTTGTAATCGAGGATAGATGTAGATGTCTGTGGGCCGCAGCAACCACTTACCACTGTGTGAACTGTGTGCTCGTTTGTCACCCTTATCCTATAAAAAAAATTACGAAACTCGAAGAGAAATGTCCATTTACTATTTATATATTAAATGGACATATTTACGCAATTACTTTTAAGTATTATAAGCACAAATTTAAATTTCAACGTAAAAACAACAACACGGAAATGCGTCCATTATATAAATATTAGAAATGTTTCTCTATTTCTCTCAATATGTGAGTTAATGTGTTAAATGACAAAATGAGGCTGAAATGTTTAGTCCTAATAAAGTGACAAGTGTATTTTGTGTAACCCCCAAATAGCATGTTCCTGGTATTTGAGGGTTACATACAAAATCAATTCTCGATTAAGATTCAAATTGCAGAAGCGTTGTCACTCCCAAGATGGCATGCCTCGTTACCAGTAAAAGGGTCCACTTTATATATATTTCTTGATTTTGCATGTCTAAGGCACAGTTACGTACGAATAAAGATATAAAAGTTTTATTTCCTTCCTTTTATAATAAATACTAAAAAATCATACGACAATTTTTAATGTTCACGTATAATTATATCGTAGTTAGGTTTTAGTTTGACTTCTATAGTTTGTGTTTGGACATTTAAATCCAGGCAATAATTGTAAAAAAAAGTTTTCTTCTATAAATTTGAATTACTTTATTTATGCAGATAATATGTTCCATGTATAAAGTTTCATAATTGTAATGAATTAACAAAACAATGCAGAATTTTATGTTATGAAAGAAATAATGTAAGTCTAATTATAATTTTTATGCATGATACACGTATGAATTTAGATGTAAATTTAAAATAATTAAAGTGATTAATATTCGAACACTATTCTAGGTATCGCCAGTATCGGTCTTTAAGGAATATGCATTGTTAACGTCGCAAACAATAAATTAAATTGAAAATTTTAAAAACGCCCGTAAGAAAAGGAGCTAATCTTCAAACCTTGAACAGATTTTTTTGAAACATAGCTAAGGGCACTCTCTATTGAGACAACTAACAAACGAAAAAAAAATCAAAATCGGTTCATCCGTTTAAAAGCTGATGATGCCACAGACAGACACACAGATATACAGACAGACAGATTCACACTACACACTTATAGCACTTCTCTGTTTCGTCGGGAGTTAACAAGAATTTTAAATCATTATTTTAATAAAATCTCCTCCTATCTAAACTTGAAGAGAAGATATACCTACCTAATTAATTAAGACTCAATATAAAATTGAAAAAATCCAATAATGCTTTTATCGTATCTTCGCCGGTCCAATGAACGTCAATTCTAATTCAATAAAAAGAGGACGTCTCGGACATTATGAATTTGCTTAATTCAATAAAACAGCGGTTTTTTAGAACATTTTTATTATACGAAAATTATTAATTTTAAAATTGCCTCAAATATGTCTATTAAAGATACAACATCAGATACAGAAACACAACTAGGTTTCATTTCAAATCAGGTTACAATACCACAAATTAGAACTAATATATAAGTATGTACATATTGTGAAATAACTTGCAAATATTGATTCACAATTTCTTAGTCTTTATACTAGTAAACAAGTATTAGTACTACTAACAAGTACTGGTAACTCGTATAATCGTTAGCACGTCTGTTAGAGATCGTGTAACATCTAAACTACTTGAGCGATTGAGGTCAAATTCACACAGTTAAGTCAAATTATTAACCAATTCTATATTTTATAGACCAAAATTACTCATATTCACCATATATGTTGGTATAGTGCACCTAAACAAAAAGTAGTTTATATTTTGTCTCAGGTTTAATCTAAAACCTGTTTCACAAAATAAGTCCCGCGGAAATATGCGAACAAATATGTAATGTAGAGAATTCACCAGGAAATATCTTTCGTGAACTGTGGCGCCGCGGCTAAGGAACTTCTTTAGTAAAGCCGCGTATCGATTACACACATGGATTATCATTCATGGCACGCGCTCCTGGCGCGCGCGCGCGCCATGAATGACCGTTCCGACCAGTGCACTCCGCGGAACGCGCTCCAAATGTTCGAACATTTAGAGCGCGTTTCACGTAATCGATACGCGGCTTTCAACTACTTTGATCGCGGTAAAAAACTGACACCAGATGGAGCGGCCCGCTCCACGTTTGAGCGTTCCAACGAACAATTTGGCGCGCGTTCCAAAGCGGTACCCGTATCGCGCTGCTGGAGCGCGCGCCAATGTTCGACCTCTTGGAGCGCATAATCGATACGCGGTATCGATATTTGATCAAAATCTGTTCAGCCGTTTTAAGGTCATAAGCTATCTTGTTAACTGCAGTAGGGTTATTTTTTGGGGGTTTATAAAATGTTCAACTTAGTTATTAAATCAACAACCAAGTTGAATATTTGTTTGAAAATAATATCCAGCATTCTTTATTTTAACCGGATTATAGTTTCATAATGTTCTCATTATCGATATGGTAAAGAGTGATGACTGAATAAAAGTTATTTACCGTATAACCATATACCATCTTATTTACGCTAGATGTAAATACCAGGTTGCATCGTCAAACGTGCGAGACGTTTTGTACTACGAACTAATACGTCTGACAAGCGTGACCACAATCCTTTCAACGGTAGGGGTTCATATCCACTAGTGTACTTTAACGGGCTGCTTAAAGAAGCAATCTTTAAATTTAAAAAAAAAATAAACTAGCTTATGTTGTATAAATTAAGTTATATCCTAATTGTCGACAGGTGCTGGATGAACTCCCTGGCCCGCCGCCGGCCTACGAATCTGTCGTCGAAGGTACCTCGGACCATAAGCCCTGCCAAACGCTGCAGGTAAATAAATCATTTACATAATTTTATATACAAATCACTTCTTAAAGAACAGCATTATTTTCATTTGCCACGTAAACGTAATATATAACAAACATTACACGTACTTCCACATGACACAGCTATTTCGTAACGCTGCACATACTGACATGGAAATGACTATTAATGAAAACTTTATAGATGCACCATCTGTCTTTTCTTCCGATTACAATGTGAAATGTCTTCTAGGCAAGAATGAATATAGCCTTTTTTTAATTTAAATTAGTACGCTTTGCCATTTTCGACTGCAACACTACTTACCATAAGGTGGGACAGTAGTGAAGCATTGTCTAGTTTATTTTTTTATTTAATTTTTATTGTAAAACACCTAAATGGGCGGGCTTAATACCTTATGCATTTTGGACCAGTCAAGCCTAGCAATAAAAAAAGGTTGAATGATGTAAAAAAAAAACATAATGAAACTAGTAATATCCAAATAGAATTAACATAATATACTTTATATAACCGTGTGGTGGCGGTATCAAACCATTTCATTCTGTGGGTTTCGTAAGAGGCGATCAGGGGAAATGCAAGAAAAATAAAATGGCCACTGATAGATAGGACATAGGAAACGGTATCCTTAACAGTAGACGTAAAACATCCAGACCGGCGACAAGCAGCAAAGTCAAAGGTGCCAGACGTCTGGCACTGCGATTGGCAATCTACCTACAAAGCGTGACGATCAAGTCCAAACTTCTATGCAACTCTCCCGTCATGATTAGCAGTGGACTTCTACGGGCAGAAGCTGAGGAAGAATCTTAAAGCATATTTTATTCCTATTCCAGGAGGTGGTAACAGAACCCTGTCCATGCTGTCAGAGTACAGAGCTGAATGACAGCAGTGGTCTACCGTCATACGAGGCGGCCGTCTTACTACGGGACACCCGATTATAATATGCTGTATAGTTGTATTATTTGTATATTTATAATGCACTTTGCGCCTTTTGGATTGCAATGTATGTTCGATTAAAGTGTATTAGTGAGGTCGTTTATATTATATTTAGTACAGGGATCTTGAACAAAGGTGGAAAATTTCATCGGGAGGTATTGATGACTGATCATGATCTTGCCTTTTAGTTTCAACTTGTTTTCAGAACTAAGTAATTTATAAAGATACACTTGCTAAGTTAAGGTCGTAAGTTCTAATGTACACTAAAATAATTTTTGTTCACAAATAGTGTAATGATTGTAAAACTTATGTGAATATATTTATCGAAGTCTGAGCGATATATTAAAACAATTTTATTCATAGTGACCGCTTTTAGTTTTGATACCCTTGGTTCTCTCTGGACACAAATCTATGGAACTACGCACTTCATCTTCATGCGGTATTTAATCACCGCTCACCCTAAAAGTTTATATGTCGGTGTAACGTTTAAGTATTTCATGTCATCAAGTACTGACCATAGTTCAGTCTTTAATATTTAGCCCAACGGGTTTCAGATCTGGACTGGATAAGGTCCAGTCCTCAATTGTTATGAAGTCCGGAACATTGATCTCGAGCTAGAATTCGATTGTTTATGCACGACCACGATCAAACCCCGATAGATGGTGGTCGCGTTGAACTTTTCTTATCAGTTGCTAGGCTTCTTTAGAACTGTGAACATACACTTTGTCATGTGGTTAATAAAGTGTTCTATATTATCGTGTTTTCTTTTTAAACTGTAAAGAGCATATTTCTGAGCCTTTCATATCAGTCCACTTTCTTTGCCGCTAAGACTGATTTAAGGCATTCTTAAATGTCGATAGTAAACACCTAAGTACAACATGATTCTTGCGGGAACCTTCATTGAACGCGATAATATTTTTTTTGTTTCCTTATAGGATTTCGTCGAATTCAGGCTTTGATAGCGTTCATACGAGTACACTTAATTCCACGAAATCCTATATGGTCTTAATCCTAACAGTCTGTTTCTAACACAACGGGTTCGTACAGATATTTTAGGTTCTTCGACGGAGGAACTGTATATCTGTGGATGGTTCGATAAACTAACATAGAGCTTACGCCTAGCTTTTGAAACGACATAACCACTTTCCTGTCCCATGTATCTTTTTCGCGAATACAGAAGTTGTTAAAATGATTTAAGGCTCTATAAACAATAATGTGTAAAGTAAACACTATTTTATTAAAAAATCCATAATTAATGTAATTTGTGTTGAAAACTCGACCGAAGGTACATAAACGAATATAGGAATATATTTAATCTCAGAAAAAATAAAACTTAATTAATTGTAACAGTATTTATGGCCAGACTAGCTAATATTATAAGAACTGCATGCAATACTTCTGCTAAATGACATAGAAAAGATTCAAATTAGCCTTATTATCTTTTAAAAGGAATCATTTTCTGGTATGATACTCGACAATAATTTTAGTGAGTGTAAAATTCTTGAGTTAGTGCAACACAGTGCTTACAGTATATCGGTGACAATGCTTATATGTATACGACTAGTTTTATTTGTGTGCTTATTTAAATAATGGATTAAGTATCATGTTTACACGCTAGCAGTTAGAGTGGTGAGGCGTGGATTACATTAAATCAGAACTGTTCATTGGAAAATATTCGTTGTGTAGTTGAAAATGAGTTTATATTGGCTTACGGGCTCTTTGCTTAATAATTAATAATACTTTACGTGAACGTCATTAGTTGGTAGAGTTGTTGGGAACTGACATCGTTCGCGAGAACCACATTATTTTGAGGGCGTTTGCATCGACAGAGCACAGAGTTATTTAAAGATGGAACCCAATTTCTACTTTACACGCATTTCGTTTGTATTGTATTTAGAGTTTTATATTTCTTTCCTATATGCGGTGATAGATATTTATGATTAATGTAATTAAAATTAAGTATTATTATTAAAATTTAAAATTGTAAGTAACACAATGGCAATCACATATTATGTTCATCATCATTGTTCTATTTGAATTTTTATTTAATTTTTGTAATTTATGTTAATAACTGCTTACATGATACAATAAAATTAAATATTGTTATTAAAGTTATGTCTTCTGATAAACAATAAAAAATATATACATATTTATATGTCGCAGGTTTATGATAAAACCTGGGTTTTAATCAAGAACCGGAAGAAGACAAAATTACTACTTTATGTATGATGTTGATTTTATCATAAAACTACATCAGTCTAGGTTTTTGATCAAAATCCTGATTTTAATATATACCTGCGACATATATACAGCAAAAATATAAATAATCCTTGCCGGTGTAAGTTACTGGAATTATGAATATATATTATATTATAAAATTTAACATTCTTAAAATGAAAAATCAATTCAATATGTCTACAAACTTAACCTTGGATAATCGACTTATCGGTATACCATGGAACAGACACATTTCTCTATAAATAAATTGAGCATTTTACGTATTCATCTCCATACTCGACCGTTTAAAATCTTGTCGGGGATTTCTAAGTGCCTATCGACATTTATCTTCGGCGTATGATCCGATGCTGACGAGGCAAAGCCGCGCACTCGGTGCCCAGCTCGCGCCCAGGTACGTGACCTGACTCTACACGACGAGACCTGATACGTCTTACTTTTATTTCTGGCTGGAAATTTAAAGAAAACTATTGTACTTATAAACTTATAATTTGACTATTTATTTTTGGATTATCCGAAACTGAATCGGGATTGGGAAAAAGACAAATTTATAAAATCCGAAATGGTAAGTCCAGTACGATACTTTAGAAATTTAACATAGCCCAAGGCCGATGTTTAATCGTCCAGGTTTTCATAAAAAAAAACATTAAAAATAAACCCAGCTTACAAATTGAATGCAGTAAAACACGTACATATAATCCAAATCTCTCAAAAATCCGTATTGGCTGGTTTAATTGCGGATGATAATAATTTTTACGACGCAATATTGCGAGTAACGTCGAGGGTCGAAAATCGGTCATTGCGAGATTTTATAGATTACGAGTATTACTTGAATAAAATAAATCGTAAAGATTTTAGACTGCTTATATTATATGAGCCGTGGTAGCTCAGTTGCTAAGAGCCCGACTTAAATTTTATTGTCCGCGAGCAATTCGAGTTCGGTCTCGCGGGCATTGGCACCGATGAAATTTTTATTTCCAACTTTTAAGTGCTGATTGATCGCGTGCTCGATTATGAATGACAACATCGTGTGGAAATTTATATGTGTGAGAAACATAATATTTGGAGAATATGTGAAGTTCAGCAACACACACAGGAGCAGCGTGGTAGACTTACTGCTCCATCAGAAATGACAGGAGGTCTGCGCTCATTGCTAATTTATATGTGCGTAAAATTTAGCATATAAAACGAATATATAATACAGGTAATTTTTTATCTTAAAGGTACTTCTTCAATCTTTAAGGTGTTGAACGCTTACACTTTATAAATTTTTCAGTTTTTCCGTTTTTAGTACGCTTTATGTAAATGTCCCTAAATTAGAGTGATGAATAGGATTGCAGCCTTTTATTCGAGTAATTTTATTTGAGTACTAGCTGTTACCGGCGACTTTGCCCGCGTGTAATTTAGGATTTTATTTCTTTTGCGAGGAACCCTAATTATTTTTCAGAAATAAAAGTAGCCTAAGTTACTTCTTACGACATCAGCTATCTGCCAATGAAAATCCCGTCAAAATCGGTCCAGCCGTTTCGGAGATTAGCCGGAACACACAGACAGACAAAAATTAAAAAAAAACGTATTTTTGTTATAAGTACCGTTTATACCTTCCTATGCATTTAGTAAAACACTGTAATTTTGACATTACAAACAGACACTTCAATTTTATTTATTAGTATAGATATAGATATTGTTAAGGTAAAGAAAAAGTTTTAGTTAAGGCTTTAAGCCCTGAATGACCTTGACGTGACGGAGACCGAACAGTATTAGAGATTACAGGGCGACGGATCAGACACGCTCGCGCGGATTTATTCGGGGAAATACAAAATTCTCACGACCTAAAATGCGGAAAAAAGATAAAACTCTCAATTAAGAATATTAATATTTTTGAGACCCTTTGTTGTGTAAAAACTAACTAAAGAGCTTGTGTCATTTTGGAGAAATTTTGACAAAAATAGGTACTCTTTGGGGATTTTTTAAAAGGGGTTTTTTTTACGAAAATACAATTTCATTTTTCTGTATATTTTCGTTACGGATTAATACTTATATCACAATTTAAACATTTCATTCATTCTTAGCCTAAAACCATTATTTATTTTTCCTATTACAAATACGTTTATATTTTTTTTATAGGAGAAGGGGCAAACAAGCATGTGGCTCACCTGATGGTAAGTGACTACCGCCGCCCATGAACAACTGCAACACCAGGGGAACCAAGGGAATCGCAGATGCGTTGCCGGCCTTTTAAAAAGGAGTAGGCTCTTTTTTTGAAGGTTCCTAAGTCGTATCGGTCCGGAAAAATCGCTGATCGATTCCACAAGGAAGTCGTGCGAGGAAGAAAACATCTTCTAAATCGCACAGTGGTGGACCGCCAATCATCCAGATGGTGTGGATGATTTTTTTTTTATAGGATAAGGATGACAAACGAGCATACAGTCCACCTGATGGTAAGTGGTTGCTGTGACCCATAGACATCTACATTTATCCTCGATTACGAATCAAAATGTAGATGCGTTGTCACCCATGAGGACTAAGATGGAACGCCTCGTTACCAGTAAAAAGGGTCTCCGGTTCTCTACACTCACCATACGAAACACAGCAGCATTAAGCTGTTATTTTACGCTGGTATTCTGTGAGAGCGTGGTCCTTCCCCGGTTGAGCCGACCCATTCGTGTTACAACTATACCAGAAATATAGCTGCAGCATGGCTCTACCACGCACAAAGCAAAGATTGGGAGTTCTACCGACCGCGATGTGCGTTCGTGAAATTTGGTTG